ATGCCATTATTCTCACGCTATATCTCTTCTTAGGAGAAAAATATCAAGGGACTTGGGCGTCATTGGAGATGGCTGCTATATGCTGGATTTGAAACTGCGATGCTACATTTGTCATCTTTAATTAACTTTGCATTACAAGGGCCTGCTCCCTCCCTCAGAGAATATAAATACCTCCCTTTGAGGTTACTGGGGGTTGCTCGTACTCAGCAGGGTTGAGAAGAGGGCCCTGGCAAGCCTGTAAACATATCAGGAAGTGAAGGGAAAGGAGAGAAGTGCCTCTCTATTCATCAATTAACAGTCACTTGTAACCTGACTAGCTACTTGGGATACTGCACTGTTCTGTTGGAAAGCCAACGTCCGGCAGGAGCAGGACGGAGGAGCCCAGCACTGTAGTGATCACAGAGAGAGAACAGAGTGAAACAAATTGCTGGAGATGCTGTGATTGTGAAACGCTGGGGTTTGCCCCGCTGGGAATATTTTGTTCAACGCAGGGCACGATTTTTTTGTTTCTTACTGACTATTAATCTTGAAGGGAACTGCCCAAAGGATTCAAAATTGTAACTGAGCTGAACAATGCAACAAATATATTTAACACTTTGCCAGGCTCTAGGACCTCAGAGATGGGTACCACAGTGATGGGGAAAGCCAGGAGCCTTCTCCAACTTGCCCAAGGTCATACAAGTCAATGGAATGAGAAAAAGTGGGCAGGTTTCCCGGGGGTCAAACCTGTGCCTGTCGCTGCCCCTCTGCCACAGGTGGTACTTTACACTGAAGAGACGGGCTCCTTGGCTAGAAGATGGTTGAATGCTTAGAGCAGTGGTTTTCAACTTTTTTTTCATTTGCGGACCCCTAAAGAAGTTTGAATGGAGGTGCAGACCCCCTTGAATTGTAAGTGTGGGTATTCACAGACTTTTGATTGATCACAGTCATCTTCCGTGGATCCATTAGACATAACCTGCAGGCCCCCAGGGGTCCACGGACCACAGGCTTAGTCAGGGACTCTCACTTAAAATGGACGAAAGAACCCCGCTGTGAAAAAACCAGGGATCATGGGCTAAAAGGCTAGACTGTCGAGGGTAACTGGTATGCAAAGAATCAAGATAACACAGACAGAAGGGAAGTATTAAAAATGCTGCACTTATTGGCCATGCATGCTACCAACAGACAGAGATCATCACTACGGAATAATGCAATGTCGTGTGTGTGTGTATACACACACACACACACACACACACACAATGTCATACATATATGAATTTTATATATATATATATATAAATGATATAAATATCATATGTGTATATCTCAAACTGTTCTATATAAATCTTTATACAAGATTTATGTTGATTATAAATCTTGTATAAAGATTTGAGATCTATATGATTTGCACTGTTCAGGAGACTAGAGAGCTGTCCCTGGGTGAGGAGGTGGTGATGACATAGCAATTGTTTGGCAGGAATGAGCAAAGTCTGCACCATTTGATTTAAAATGATAAGGCCATGACTAAGCTCAGAGATCACAGGGCAGCCTCTCCGGATCATTCGCTATCTTGCCAGGGTGAGCTTTTTTACTGTGTGTTCTCATTCCTTTTCACCTAGCTCCTTTGCTGCATTGAATAGCTGTTTGCAGTGATGCACACCACAAAGGCTGTTGCATTTCTGGTCAAGTGCCCGTAATCCAGCACTAACAATAAGTACACAAGTCAAAGAAAGCGGGGTGGGGAAGAGGGACAGATAAAGGTAAAGATAAAGGTAGTCGCTGCCTCGCATATAGATACAATGGAAGGAAGATTTCCGCGCCCTCCCCCCCAAAAAAATTAAGATGAGGTCACATCGTTTAGCTGGAGCATCCTTGGAACAATTGTTGAATTTGCTATTTTCAGCTGCCCCAGGCAGGCTGGTTCTTGTCCTGCTCTTGCTCACATTGGCCTTCACGTCAAACTTCTATTAATTTCAATGGGGTAAGGTGGAAATGCACAGCACAGCACAAGTTCTTACATTAGGGCCCAAGCCTTTCCCCTGCCCTACAGTCTGATCCAGCTGCCATTGCAGGCGATAATAAGACATCAGTAGGAGCAGGATGAGGCCCATGGAAGCCAAAGTCCTGTAAAGCGTGGAATAAAGAACTGGACCTTTGGATTTCCCTTCCCCTTCACAAGTCCCCACTGGATGCAATCCAAGGAGCATGGCATCCGGTGTGCTGCCGGGACTGGCTGCCCGGAGGGGGGTTGTAAAGAGGATTAGCGTTGCATTGAGTTCAGATGCCATCACAACCATATCAAGTTGTGACGTGACACAACTTTCACAACTCTAAAAATAAAATGTAATGCGTTTGCTAAAACTAGTTTGGCAAATGTTTTATTGTAATAATGACATGCAAGATCAACAATAGCGCAGAACAAGAGTGGAACAATGGGATTCGCTTGATACTGAAACAAGGCACAATTGGAAAGACAAGTATATTTTTACAAGCTCCAGGAACCAGATGTAGCAGCCCTTTTTAGGTCCTTCCTGAAGCAAATACTTAATACACCCCTCCACATTTAACGCAGCCATTCATGAATACTCCAGATCCACCCCCACAAACCATCCCTGGTACATGCACGATTCTCTGTACGGACAAAGGCCATACAGACCCAGACATGATTGTTTAAGCCTCTACAGTGTTCTCTCTCGCTGCTCACCTACATCAGTACAAATCAGAAGTACTACCACTGTGGTCAAGGCAGGGCATGTTACAGTGATTCAGTCTTTTCACAGCATCTGATGAAGTGAGATGGGGTCACAAAAGCTCATGTTATACATCTCTGATCGAGTTAGTCTGTACAGTGCAAATCTATCCTGCCTTCTGCCTGACTCCAAAATAACAAGGCTAACTACTGTTCAGCGACATAAAGGCAGCATGAAGTGAGGCCCAGGATCCCAGACTCCAGACAGGGTTACATTTGGTGCATACAGTACTAAGCCACCCAGTTCCTTTGGCATAATGCTGGTGCTACTCTGGGGTCATCTCTTTGGGCTAGATCCTGCCACGCTTACTCAGATGGAGAGGACCTGACTCTGCTCTACTCCACTGGAATTGCAAGCACGGGACTATGCAGCATCTGTAAATGCGACGAGCAGAGTCAAACCCAAATAAAAAATGCCCGGGTTGTTTCATGGGGCCAACAACTGGGATTTGAGCCAACAGATCCCTCTGAAAGTCCTAGGGGGGAAGGATTTATTATTGGAAGAGATTGAGCGCATGCTCCTTTAGGCTTACCTTTCAGGAGACTATGCTCGTGTGAGTATGCTGCGACTTATTCAGGAGGAATAACAGAGCCTAAACTCAGTCTATACCCAGAATGACTAGCTACCTGTTTATCTCACTCTATCCATTGCACATCCACTGATGCTCTCTACACGGAGAACTAACTCTCCGTTTCACCTACAACGTGCAAGGCGCCCAGAATCAGCCGCACAGTTCCCATTAACCTTAATGGTACAGGATCACACCCCAAGTAAAGCCAGGGACTGTCCATTAAAGCAGACATATATTTTATATTTGGACCTTGTTTTCCACAAGCTGAATGCTCACTCCGGTTGGTCGGTGGGATCTGAGGATCCTTCCTACTTCTGCAAATAGGGATGCTTCGTTTGTGCAGCCCAAAATCCTGCCTAGAATCATTTTGTGATAAATGTTCCCGTGTAAATGAGCTCGGTGTTTAAAGCAAGCACGTGTGTGTGTGTGTGGGGGAGGGGATGGGAAAAGGATTCAAAGGACCAGTCAGCAATGATTAAACACAGAAATAATGGCTTCCGGTTCCAAAAAGCTGCCTCTCTTCTTAGTACAACTACCTCATCTGTAACTCTAACTGTGTCTATTAAAAGATAATTACTCGGGGAGACCAATACGTGTAACCAGATGTTAAAATGGTGGAAACAACAATCCTGGGTACAGTAATGCCATGTGCAATTTAAATTATTACTGTCAGGACAAGATGCATATAAAAATAGTGCATATACACATACGGGGCACAAGCATGCAGCTGTCAGTGGGGAAATCTCCTTATCCCCCAGTAATCCTACATTGTCTGCCTGAGCCCAGGGGTCACAGACTCTCACCGATGTCCTTTACCCTGCTGCTTCCTCCCTGGGGCGCTTCAGTCCATGACATTCCTTCCCAGTCCCACTGTTTTAGTCTCAAAGTACGTTGCAAGCTTTCTATGTCTGGTAAGGTGCCAGCAAATGCTGGGGAGGCAAGGAGTGATGAGCGGGCAGGAGCAAGGGGTTGAACTTAACTCGGGTCAAACAAGAAATGGACTCGCAGTTAAAAAGGTGAGAATCTCACTGCAGAGACCTTGCTGTGGTGCCAAGGGATTGCAGCGTCTGCTGCAGCAAAGCGGGGGCTGCCTGTACCCGAACTATTGCTCTCCCGTGCTTAGGTGTCTCCATTACTGTGATAGTCGGGTGTTACTTAACCTTTAACATATTTGTCCTTGCATCACACATAGCATGTCAGACACTACTAGGGTCCTAACCTGGCTCCCAACCACAAGTCATTTCTTGCATGTCCTCTGCTACAGTTCTCCTGTCCCCAAGGAGACCTCAGTCCCATTACCGCTCAATGGGATCTTGATGGCAACTGGTTTGGAGCTGCGGCCCTCACCTATCAAACAAATCCTGAAGGGTGGTCCATAGACTGAGCTCTGCATCCACGTTGGGTGTTGTTGAGGTCTGATATACAAACTTACCTACACAGGGTAACACATAAAATCAGGACCCAGCACACCCACAAATGTCAACTTAGGCAGAGAAAAAAAACGAACGTGGGTGTTAAATATATAATATTTATGGCAACACCGATGTTCATTATATAGATCTCAACTTATTATATATCAATATCTATCTCTCTATATACATCTCCCTAGATATATATCTATAGCTATATATATATATATATATATATAGATAGGTAGCTATATCTATATAGAGAGAGATAGATATATCTATAGAGCTATATATGTCTAAAAGATGCAGTCTGGATATAGACACTGATATAAGAAATTGTCAGAACCAAACCACATAGGCCAGTTTCTCTGCACATTTTCCAGGTGTGCTAAGGAGACAGTTTCTGTATTAGCTTCTTCCAGATTTTTCTGTCCATCAATAAAGTGAAATTAGTCCTACACATGAATTCTGCAGTTTCAAGTATTGCTCCCACAAACCAGGGACCAGGTTGTTAGTCGTGTTGGGCCGAATTCCCTGCTGATTTTGCCCTATGGAAATCATTATCGTTAGTGCAGGAATGAAATTTGGTCAAGGTTTTTATCTTCTGCTTAGTTTTTCTTTTTACTTTCAAATACTTTGAAGACAAATGAGTCTATAGTTGAGGTTCTCTTTCTACTGGAGACATAGTGTCTTGGGGTTAATTCTGACTCCTGGCTTTATTACCATAGATAGTTAGTCCTGTTAGCCTGCAGACAGTCAGAAGGCAGGGTAGAGATGAACCTATATAGATTAACTATATAAGATATACAAATAAGCACATGCTTTCTGGGCTGAAGCTCACTTTGTCAAATGCTTTGTTTTCATAATCGTCATGTAATTTAGGGTATTATCTTGAACAGGAAACGAAGCTTCTCCATTCAGAGCTGAGCACTAAATGTGCAGAAGCTGAATGGCCGAAGTTCAGAAACAAGGGCAACTGCTCTGACCATAAATGATTTCATTGGTGTCAGGGGAGCTATCCCTAATTTACACCAAGATTAAAATAAAAGCACCCTCACGTCCCATTTCTTCCTCCTGCCCCCCTCCAAAGGATCCAGGTCTTAAACCTGCTGTGCAGACCTCACCGGACTCATCTTCACTCATCCGTTGGTGCCTGTAGTGTTACTTGCATGCTGGATAATCTAAACTCACATAATGCTTACGGAACCGAGCCCCAAGCCTCTATTTCTTCCATTTGTTCTGTAATTAGAAACGCAAGTAAACGAAGAAGCTGAAGCTGAAGTCCTAACACTGGTGGAGTGGAGAGGAACCACGAGAATATGCAGGCCTGCTGCTGTGGAAGGCAAAGATGTTGGTGGGAGAGGAAATTATAAATAGCATTGAGGGTGAGGAGCGTTAAAGCACGCTGTAAAACCAAAGCTTTGTTACTCAGACCCAGTGGACCTTAAAATTGCATCTCCCTGGAGCTCACTGCAGCCGCTGCTGCCATTCGGCACAGAAAAAGACCTGAGCTTCTGCCCAAGCCTAGGCAAAGCTGATGAGGTCCAACTCCAGGAGCTCCCAAGGCCGAAGGATTACTGCCGAATCTGTGGCTTATTTTGCCCTTGCCTGCACTTGCCATTGGGGCAACAAGGAAACAATCTTGCTTCAGAGGGGGCAAAGCATTACTCACCTCATTGCTGCTTCCAGTCATGCATGTCACTGGACCAGAGTGGCTCCCTCCTGCAGAGAAGCCTTTTTGGAGAGGAAACCCAGCAAGGTGAAGCTTGCAACTTCCCTTGTGACATCCCAACATGTGGGAGAAACTCTTGTTAGACCAAGGATTTGGAGGAGCCCTGTCCACACAGCGAGGGTGGCCTTCTGTGCTGCGAGCCGTGGTCTAGAACGGACAGCGCTGGCAGGAACCGAGCTGCCCACAGGCTGATGGCCAGGATTTGGTGCCGTGCTTCAAGGTTTATCATCGGGGCTGGCTCCATAGTCTATAGGTGCAACAGGCCTTCTTCCTACATTCTTCTCCATCACATCTTCTCCACCTCCCGGCACTGTCTGATTCCAACATCAGTGACCAGGAGCAGAAAATGAATTCCCACCAGGTTGTCCTAGGCCACTAGCTACACCAAAAACACAGAATCCAGGTCTTTATCCGCTAGATCATACTGCCCCTCCTCTCCCAAAAGTGACCTGGCTTTTAGAAATATTGCAAGAGCTCCTGCAGCATCAGACCACCCTAGCACGGCATCAGGCCATCAGCTCCAAGCCTAGATAGCCAGGCTGCTGTCTTAGGTATTTTCTGAAGTGCAGTAAAACCTATAGCTCCCGCAGTAAGAACTGGGCCCTCTGTGGTGGGTCTTGCATCCCTCCCCGTAAGTCAGTCCCCAGTCCCAGAGAGCCAAATTGTGGTCGGGACTTCCTATGGCTCCTCAGGGCCCTCCCTGGACTCGGGCAGTCAATGAACAAAGAGCTACATGCCCCAGGAATACATTATTCACCAGAAGGGTCCCTAATGTGAATTCTGATGTCCTCCATCACCTCCGATTTTTAATTTACTCATCCCTTCCTCCCCCCCAGCAAGATCCAAGGCTTATTATTCACAAACACGTACCTGCACCTCCAGCGGAAAAAAAATCAAGTCATTTTTTTTCTTCTGCTCAAGCCTTCAGCATGCAGAGAAAAACATTTTTTATTCATCAGTGGTAAAAGGCTCAAGCCATTTGACTTTAAACACAGACATGCTTCTGGGCTCTCTTCCAGGAAGTCTGTGTCACCCGGGTTTTAGATCGATATGTTTGTCTGCAAAGTCACCCTTTTGATCTGTAATTTTTCATTTTGACACAAAGAAATGCCTCTTGGTCAAACTTCAGTTAGTCCATTAAATTCAAAGCATAGTGGAAATGAGAATCACATTGCTGTAACCATGTGAAGATTTCCACAGTTTGGGGTTTATTTACTCTTGGGGTAATTGGCTTGACTGTATATTTAAGAGTCAGATGCTGAAAATGCTGTTTCCTTGCTTCACCTAGATCAGTTCTGCCACCAGCCCAACGCTGCTAGTTGGTGGTCTGACTGTCTCGCACCAGCCACTCTGTTTTATTAAAATAAGAAAAAAAAACCCCAACCCCATCCAGTGATAAGCATAATTCAACAGGAAATGTGACTGCAACTAAGCAACGCACCAGCCAGGACTGTTCTTTATTATCAAGAGAGGGTGTCCTGGGTCAGACCCTTCCTAAGTGGTCCCCCTGTAAGTCCTTATTGCAGCGCTGCTGTCTTTCAGCAGAACTGGGCAAGGTGGTGCTGGTGGACAGAAGATTTTGGAGGATTGATTCTTCTTCAAGTGACATGCTTCTTAATAGAGACTGGCGGTGCTTAGTCTTTGGTGCTGAGGGCTGGAGGAATGGAGCAGGGTTGGTCTGTGGGCCAGACGGGGCCCCGCGTGCCAAGATAGGGCCCCCTGTGCCACCTCCAGCTAGCTTGTGTGCCTGGATCAGGCCTGGCGCGCTCTCTGGCCCATGCCGTGGGGCTCCCTGGCAGATCCAGAAATTTGGTAGCGAGGGAGCGGGAATCGCTGTCACTGCTTGCTCCCCTCACCCACCAAATTTTCAGCCCTGAGCGCTGGATGGCATGGCTCCACGGGCCAGGAGCCAGCAGTTGAGTGCCCCTGGTATAGACAGCTGGTGGCATTTTTCTGGAGCAAGCCGGAGGCAAGAGGGTTGGAAAGAAGGCCCAAACTTTCGGTGAGTACATAAGCAACACTATGGTCACAAGGCCCCTGCATAAAATCTTGACAAAATGTCCCTACTGCAAAACTGTCAGATTTCCAGGTACTCCCATGCTCCAGCCAGGGCTTTTCACCTGCGAGGGTCTGACCCCCAGGATGGGCAACTGGAGGGGGGTGCTCATAAAACACTGGAAATATTGCTATAGTTTAAGCAGAGGAGAAAATCAAATCTCACCCTCTAATTCGCTGTGCTTTTATCCTTCAATGGCAAGCATTTGCTGTCAACTTTTCAGTGCACACAAACTATTATACAGGATGATGACTGCTGTAACTGCTACATTTTAAATCAACTTGTCCCCTCTTTTTTCTGTTGTGTTTGTTTTTAATGAATCGCAGTGGTTCCTGACTTCAAACAACAGGGTTGCCAACCTCAAGTAGTTGAGAAATGCTGCACTGACAGAAGTCCAAAGTGACTAGTCATTTTGGATACATCAATTTTTGGCTGCCTAACCAAGGCACCTTAAATTGGCGGTTCTGAACCTCTTTAGACTTGAGGCACCCCTCATTAGGCTCAAGGCTCCCTTTGGAAAGTGCTGGCTCTTAATTTTCACTCATTTTTGACAGCATTGCATTTTAGTGCAATTCTTCTGTTTGCAAAAAAATGTGGAAAGATCATAGTAGATCAGAGTATCAACGCTATGAATTCCTAGTTGGTATCTCTGGTTTTATCTTGTGAATCATGTTTGCACGCCTAAGTGGTAACACCTTGAGGCACCCTTGAAAGGATCTCAAGGCACCCCAGGGAGCCACAGCACCCTGGTTGAGAATCACTCCTTTAAAGGGACCCGACTGGTAGCGGCAAGTCAATGCCAGCAGGCAATGCTGCAGCACCTCCAGAAAAATCAGATCCTCTGAAGACAACTTAAGTTGGACACCCAAAACAGGTGACTCCTCCAAATCTTATAGCCCTCAACTCCAGCTAATCAGAACAAAGCACGAGTGTCTTCATGAAAACATATGACATTTTAAGCCTTGATTTAGCAATTTACTCCATTTAAAGAGATGGTCAGCCTGCTTTAGATGGAAACGATTCCCCAGAGTTTAACTCAGTGAAGGTTTTGGAGAGCGGGAAGGAGGCTGGAAGGGTTGTGAAGCTGGAAAAGGACCGAGAAGCAGACAAGTCCCTGCAGCTCTAGGAGAAGACACATTGCAGCCAGGCACCAACACTAGAAAAGGAAACTGGCTAGAAACAAAAGTGAAAGCCACCAGCGCAGGGCCAGCGTGCGGACGTGAGCAACAGGGAACAGGACAGGAAACCGCGCGCTCGAGGACAAGGAAACGTGCCTCAGCAGCTCTTGCGATGCCATTAATCTTAGTGCACCAAGACAGACTCTCTGTAACGGTGGGCCCAGACTCTCAGCCGGTGCCACATGACACCTCTACTGACTTCAAGGAGACCATCTATTCATGCTAGTTGAGGATCTGGGCCCTGATTTAACTTTGTTGTGGACTTCCGTTATCATGGACACGAATGTTGCCTTTTGGCAGGTACCGACAAGGGTACCGCTGTGTGAGCAAGTGCCAGCTGCTTGCAACTTTCATCCCTGGGAACGGTCAAGTCTCTTAAGCCGCCGTTTCCCCAGCACGTCGTTATACTGCATTTCCTGGAGGCTCAGCCCAGAAGCGTGCTCCTGAGTGAGTCCTGGGCAGGACTCCTGGATTAGTTGTTAGGCAACGCTCTACTCCTCGTAAGCAGCTTAAGCATCAAATCCATTCAGATGCAATAGATTTTTTAGTCTGAAACCTCAACTGCTCAAACCTGCCTCTGAAGTGTTTAAAGCAGAGCCCCTGGGCAATCAATCCATGGATAGGTCAAGACACTTTTGTTCAGAAGCTGCTTTGGGTTTTATTTTGTCCAGCACACGTCACAAAGTTCTGGATTTTACCGTGCCCTCCCCACACCCGTGGCTGTTTCCACACACTGTGAGCGGCACAGAAATAAAGGCATGTTGCCCACCTTACTGACAGGCTTGCAACAGCGCTTGATAAGAGCGGGCTGCAGGGCTCCCCACACGCCACCACCCAGGAGGCCCCTTGCCTTCACAGAGCACCACTGCACTACAGCATGCCTGGAAATCACATGCTGGAAATAAAGCGGGGAGGCAAACACTTCCCATCACGCAAGGTAGCAGAGCTTCTTTGCAGAGACTGATTTCCAAGGAGCAAGGTGTGGAGTGCCACGGCTCGGGCCAAGCATGGCACCAGGGCTCTCTCCATGAAGAGTGCAAGCATTTTGTCTTCCAGCCTGCTGCCCCAAGAGGTCAACAGAAAACAGCAAGCATCCACCTGTATACCCATCTACCTGCTTACAGCACTGGCAGCAGGAAAATGCCAGCGCCAAAAGCTCTGAGGTCTGTCTTAAATCACCCAGTTTGGAAGGGAAGGGGGGAATCAGATTCTCCATCAAGCACTTCTAACTGTCTTGGTTCAAAATAATTAAAAAAAAAAAATCTTGTGTTACACTACAAGACCCGATCTTGTCTTTATTAGCACGAAGTAGCACCTGCTCAGACATGACCCTGCTGAGTGCAACACGTAGGAGTGGCTCAGTCATATTCAGCAGGGCAGAATCAGATTCCCAAACAAGCCTATACTGTGGGGAGAGGCTCACAAAAACCTGAAATTGGTAAAGTACTTTGAGATCTGTGGTTGCAAGACAGTACTACAGATGCTAGTAATTTGCTCCATAAATGCTAAACTAGTTTGTACTTCCCAAAGAGGCTTAACATCAATATGGTCCTGTCACAGCACCTTAAAACAGAGCGCTCCTCTGAAGGAATCCCGCTTCGATATAACCCCTTGGGGTGGGAGAAACACAGACTGAAATGTTTCTCAAGCCTCCTCCCGAAATTTTAAACTCTGTATAATTTCAGGGGCTCAGCTTCTTTATGCCTGTTCCTTATTAGTGCCAGGACTGGACGGAGGGCATCACCACAGCTCTGACCGCAGGCCGGGGGCTCAACACCGGTAGCCACAATGCCCGCTACAAAGGAGCCAGCAGATGCCAGGGAGAGTTTGGCCAGCAGAGTCGTAATGAACACTAATAAAACCGGACCTGATTTTGCACTAATCATCCTGTTCAATACTTACATAGCTCTTTGTGTCTTCAAAGTGCCAGCCAAGCAGTCCACTTCATCCCTCCTGGAAAACATCTGTGAGTTAGCGAAAAAGCAACATCCTGAAATTCATGAGAAAGTAAAAGAATCGCTTTAAAAAATCATAAAAGAAGCCAAAAAGGTTTCATTGCAAAAGCCCAAACTAGGCGCTTTGCTTCAAACAGGAGTTTTCAGCAAATCTAACACAGTTTTATGAAGCATTTACATTTTGACAGAGCTGTACTTTCTGATAGAAAATGCTTCTGTGCATATTTTCTGACTGGTTCCAAAATGCTTCTCCAGGTTTTGGCAGCGTGGAGAATTAAATGGCCCTTTTTATGGCTTGGTAACAATACTCTGTATTTATAAGACATCTTTTATTCAAGATCCCACATAGCAACTCTCCAAGAACAGACGTAGGTGAGCTAGAGGCGCAGCACAATTTAACGTGCTTTGCATTTACTTATAAAACGCAGGTACGGACACATTTTCCAAGCGCCAAGCTCCTCTGAAATATCAGATCGTTAGTGACCTAGCAATCAAGATCATGGCAAAGGCGAGAACAGCCAAATTCGGCCCCACGGCTACGGTGCAGCTCAGCAGTTGCTCCTCCGGGTTAGACCTGAATTCGGCCACCCGCTGCCACAGATAGATGTTACACCACACTGCACCGGGGTCACAGCAAGAGAAATTTGTGGTCTTCAAGCAGAGCAATCGCCCCCACCAAATGCTGCACAAGCCTTCAGCGTGCTGCCCCGCTGAACAGAACGAGGAACTGATGCAGAACCACACTTGCTCCTGCCTCCTCTTACGTGATTTTTTGGCACGCTCTTTTTTCGCAGGGCTGAAGCAGATACAGAGCGGCAGCTGTAACGTTACGTTTCGACGGGCGAGCAGGAGCAGGGCGCAGAGCTCTGCGATGCCTCCTTCGTATTTGTAGATCAGTCGTGATATGTCCCAGGGTCTGCTCCGAGTGACCGCAGCCCCACACGGCAGAGCTGTTTACTGGTGCATCCCACGGTTTGTGCGGATACAGTCAGGGGCCTCCTGCGCTGGATCTAGCACAAGATGTGTATCTGGGACTTGAACCGCGGCTGTTACTATTGCTCCGGAGCTCCCGCCAGCAGGGCCGGCTGGTGGGTGACTGCGACCCGCCTGGCTCTGGGAGAGGGGCTGCACTGGGACCGGCCGGGGGGAGCAGCTTTCGGCAGGGCAGGTCTCTGCTCCGCGGGGGCTGCCACCGG